CGCATGGCACCCGTCCCGTCGTCCACAGGATGCCACACCCGGATCGTCCTGTCCCACGACCACGAGACCAGGACAGGCAGCTGGCTGTCCGCACTCGGCAGCGCAATCACACCCTCCACATCGTCGGTGTGGCCCTCCAGCACCTCACAGGAGTCCCTGTCCGCGGTGTACCGCATGGCGCCCGTCCCGTCGTCCGCAGCATGCCACACCCGGACCGTCTTGTCTATCGACCACGAGACCAGGACAGGCAGCTGGCCATCCGCACTCGGCAGCGCAATCACACCCCGCACATTGTAGATGTGGCCCTCCAGCACCTCACAGGAGACCCTGTCCGCGGTGTACCACACGGCGCCCGACCCGTCGTCTGCAGCATGCCACACCCGGATCGTGTTGTCCCACGACCACGAGACCAGGACAGGCAGCTGGCCATCCGCACTCGGCAGCGCAATCACACCCTCCACACCGCTGGTGTGGCCCTTCAGCACCTCACAGGAGGCACTGTCCTCGGTGTACCGCATGGCGCCCGTCCCGTCGTCCGCAGCATGCCACACCCGGATCGTGTTGTCTCTCGACCACGAGACCAGGACCGGCAGCTGGCCATCCGCACTCGGCAGCGCAATCACACCCCACACATTGTAGATGTGGCCCTCCAGCACCTCACAGGAGGCACTGTCCGCGGTGTACCGCATGGCGCCCGTCCCGTCGTACGCAGCATGCCACACCCGGATCGTCTTGTCGTCCGACCACGAGACCAGGACAGGCAGCTGGCCATCCGCACTCGGCAGCGCAATCACACCATTCACCCAGGTGGTGTGGCCCTCCAGCACCTCACAGGAGGCACTGTCCGCGGTGTACCGCATGGCGCCCGTCCCGTCGTCCGCAGCATGCCACACTCGGATCGTCCTGTCTCTCGACCACGAGACCAGGATAGGCAGCTGGCCATCCGCACTCGGCAGCGCAATCACACCATTCACATTGTAGATGTAGCCCTCCAGCACCTCACAGGAGGCACTGTCCGCGGTGTACCGCATGGCGCCCGTCCCGTCGTCCGCAGCATGCCACACCCGGATCGTCCTGTCCCTTGACCACGAGACCAGGACAGGCAGCTGGCTATCTGCACTCGGCAGCGCAATCACACCATTCACATCACCGGTGTGACCCTCCAGCACCTTGCAGGAGGCAGTGTCCGCGGTGTACCGCATGGCGCCCGTCCCGTCGTCCGCAGGATGCCACACCCGGATCGTCTTGTCGTCCGACCACGAGACCAGGACAGGCAGCTGGCCATCCGCACTCGGCAGCGCAATCACACCATTCACATCGTAGATGTGGCCCTCCAGCACCTCA